TTTTTTTTTTTTTTTGTGACAGAGTCTCACTATGTCACCTTCGGTAGAGTGCCATTGTGTCACAGCTCACACAAACCTCAAAATCCTGGGCTTAAGTGATTCTCTTGCCTCAGCCTCCCAAGTAGCTGGGACTATAGGTGCCTGCCACAACACTCGCCTATTTTTGGTTGCAGTTGTCATTGCTATTTAGCAGGCCCAGGCTGGGCTCGAACTGCCAGCCTGGGTGTATGTGGCTGGCACCCCACTTACTGAGCTATAGGCACTGAGCCTAGTTTTTCTATTTGTAGTAGAGATGGGGTCTTACTCCTGCTCAGGCTGGTCTCAAAATTCTGAGCTCAAGCAATCCACCCACCTTGGCCTCCCAAAGTGCTAGAATTATGGGTGTGAGCCACTGTGCCCAGCCTCACAATCAATTTTATTTATATAATTTTTTTTTTTTTTTTAGAAAGAGTCTCACTTTATCGTATATAATTTTTTTGAGATAGAGTCTCATTTTGTTACCCTCAGTAGAGTGCCATGGTGTCAGCTTACAGCAACCTCAAACTCTTGGGCTCAAGCAATCCACCCACCTCGGCCTCCCAGAGAACTAGGATTACAGGCGTGAACCACCATGCCTGGCCCCAATATCGATTTAGAATGATTTTTTTTTTTAAAGATTTAAGTTTAGAACTTTTTTTTTCTTTTTTTTTTGAGACAGTTTGAGACAGTCTCACTATGGTGCCCTGGGTAGAGTGCCATGGCTTCACAGCTCATGACAACCTCCAACTCTTGGGCTTATGCAATTCTCCTGCCTCAGCTTCTCAAGTAGCTGAGACTACAGGCACCCGCTACAACATGTGCTATTTCTTGGCTGCAGTTGTCATTGTTGTTTGGCAGGTCCAGGCTGGATCGAACCCACCAGCTTTGGTGTATGTGGCTGATGCCCTAGCCACTGAGCTACAGGCACTAAGCTAGCTTAGAACATTCTTTTTCGGCTCGGCACCTGCGGCTCAAGTGGCTAAGGCACCAGCCACATACACCTAAGGTGGCTGGTTCGAATCCAGCCCAGGCCTGCCAAACACCAATGAAGGCTGCAACCAAAAAATAGCTGGGCATTGTGGCAGGCGCCTGTGGTCCCAGCTACTTGGGAGGCTGAGGCAGGAAACTTGCTTGAGCCCAGGAGTTGGAGGTTGCTGTGAGCTGTAATGCCATGGTACTCTACCCAGGGGGATAGCTTGAGGCTCTGTCTCAAAAAAAAAAAAAAAAAAGAACATTCTTTTTCTTTATTAAAAAACAAAATAACACACCTTTAACTATAACTCCCCAGTTCTCTCTTCCTCCCCCATCCCAACCCTAAGTAACCACTAGTCTTTCTGACTGTATGGATTTGCCAGTTTTGGACATTTCACTGAAATGGAATCATATGGGCAGTGCCTGTGGCTCAGTGGGTAGGGCACTGTCCCCATATACCCAGGGTGGAAGGTTTGAACCTGGCCCTAGCCAAACTGCAACAAAAAAATAGCTGGGCATCGTGGCAGGTGCCTGGAGTCCCAGCTACTCGGGAGGCTGAGGCAAGAGAATCACCTAAGCCCAGGAGTTGGAGGTTGCTGTGAGCTGTGATGCCATGGCACTCTACCGAGGGATATAAAATGAGATTCTGTCTCTAAAAAAAAAAAAGAAAGAAAGAAAGAAAGAAAGAAATGGGATCATACATGGACAACGTATGGCTTTTTTTTTTTTTAACATATGGCTTTTTGTGTCTGGTTTTCTCACTTAGCGTGATATTTTCTAGGTTCATCCTTGTTGTAGCACTTTGTTTTTTCTCATTGCTATATAAGAGGTAAAGGTTCTCACCTAGGTATGATTTGAGGCCTTTGCAATCTCAGCCCAGAAACACAGTGCTACCCTGAACCATGACTTCCCACCAGGTGTGGATGACACTGTCTCTGTGCTGCTACAGTACCCAGGAGGGGTCCATGGCAGCTTCACCTGCAGTATCACTGCCCAGCTCTCCAACACTGCCCTTGTGAGCGGTACCAAAGGCATGGCCCAGGTGAGATGCAACGGGCCCAACGACTGGGAATTGTGCCCCTTAGCAATAGAGGGGTCAGTAGTGGCCATTGGAGCTATGTATGAACTGAACTAGCCATTTTTCACACCATTCTGAAGATTACATCCTCCCAAACAAATCATGAAATGGGGTTTGGGCCTCTGGGCACCTTCCCAAGGCTGAACCTATTTGTCTGTCCAGTATCCTTATGCCTGAAGAGAAACCATTTATTATCATAAACCATACTTAGTGGGCAGTTGTGATCTTTGGAATTGCTTCCAGGGTGGGATCTGGATGTGAAAAGTCAGCTTAACTGGGCTTCCTGGGACACTGTGGTTAGAAAAAAGTACTGTTCTTAGCAGTCAGAGTGCAGACAATTTCGGACCTCAGTCATTCAGACTTCATTTCCCATGAGGAATCAGGGACTTTCCATTTTGCCCTAGACTTGGAGATGAGAACAATTTAGGTTTCCCAAGGATCTGGGGCTAAAGAAGGTCTCCTAGTGAAGAAGAAGGTGCTGGATTATCTGAACAAAACAGGATTCACAAAGACACAGAGATAACCCTCTTCACTAGACCTAAAGAGCACCTTGTCCTTAGCATCAGGAGAGAGGTTTGCTCATGGGAAGACAGACAATGGTACTGATAAGGTAGAAACCCCTAGGAACCAGGTGTGAGGGAGGGCCCAAACCTCCCTGGGGACAGGCAGGAATAATGCCAGAGAGAGACAGTGAACATCACCCTACATGTTCTAGAGTAGGGGCAGCAGAGACACTTCTTCTCTTCCCCTCAGATCCTTGATCCCTGCTGGTGCCCAACAGAGCTGGTGGTGCAAGGGCAGCATAAGGAGTTCCCACTGCCCCCAGGCCCAAAAGAGTGCAATTTTACAAATGCGGCAGGGATGAGTTATGAGGCCAAGCACGTCCGGGATTGTCTGCGCAAGGGTAAGAATATGGAGGATATGGGTGTGGGGTTGGGGGGGCACACCTAGGGGGATTTGGGGCTTCTGCTCAGACTGTTAACCAACTGTTTAGAACTACATCTCCCAGGATCCCCTGGGGACATGTACCTCCTCCATGAATTACTATGCCACATGGGATTCTGGGAATTGTAGGTTTTTGGTCTCTGGTGTGTGGGTATGAAGGGGTCCCTAATTGCACTCTCCCCTCAGGCCTGAAGGAAAGTCCTGTGATTCCCCTGGCAGAAAGTGAGCTCTTGGCTGACATCCTTGAAGAGGTGAGGAAGGCCATTGGAGTCACCTTCCTCCAAGACAAATGCTGATGTATTTCCCGAATAAATAAAGACATGGTTTCTATAGATACCTTTTTTTTTTTTTTTTGGAGACAGAGTCTCACTATGTCGCCCTGGGTAGAGTGCTGTGGCATCACAGCTCATAGCAACCTCAGACTCTTGGACTTAAGCAATTCTCTTTCTCAGCCTCCCAAGTAGCTGGGACTACAGGCACCCACCACAATCCCTGAATATTTTTTTTGTTGTAGTTGTCATTGTTCAGCAGACCAGGGCTGGGTTCACATCCACCAGCTCTGGTGTATGTGACTGGCACCCTAGCCACTGAGCTACAGGCGCTAAGCCTTTAGATATCTTAGATCTTCATGGTGGTGTTTTGGCAGGAGCTGGAGAGATCACCATCAAAGGGTCACTAGAAAATAATTTGACCCTGGTACCATGTCATGCACCTATAGCCCAGCTACTTGGGAAGCTGAGGCAAGAGGACTACCTGAGCCTAGGATTTGGAGGCCAGCCTAAGTAACATAGCAAGGGGCAGTGCCTGTGGCTCAAAGGAGTAGGGCACTGGCCTCATATGCCAGAGGTGGCAGGTTCAAACCCAGCCCTGGCCAAAAACTGCAAAAAAAAAAAGCAACATAGCAAGACTCCATCTCAATTTTAAATATAAGAGTAAAAATGGAAAAGAAACATTTAAAAAAAAAGTTGGAAAGATGGGAGACGTGGTGGGGGGAGGCACTGCCAGGACCACAGTTCCCATAAGCTCCTGGAGCAGACATATGAGCAGATCCATGGTTCCCCTGTCATGGCCTTTCTAGGTTTGACCCTCATTGCTGTTGAGTGATGTTTGCAAAAAAGCCTGATTTCTGTTCTGAGAAATCTTGGTCTTTCTGGGTTCTTGAAGGCCACCCAATTTTGTTCTTATCGCTTTGCCTGCAGATAACTGCCTCTCCTCAAATTCAGTTATATTAGTTAGGCTTTTCTTTCAGAAAGTATCAGAAATGCAACTCAAAGTAGTCTAGACAGAAATGGAATTCATGGTAACTAAAATCTTGAGGACAAGGCTGGTATCAGGCCAAGACTCTGTCTTTCTCCATCTCTTTTATTTTCCTTGGCATTGGTTTCATTAAAGGTTGCAGACACTGATTAAGTGCAGGTCTGAGGGCCTGGCGCCTGTGGCTCAAGTGGCTAAGGCGCCAGCCACATACACCTAGGGTGGCG